GACTTTCTACATGGACATAAACCACTGTCACGTTCTCAGCAGAAGGCATTAGATAAGCATACACAACACTTGGGGACTTTTATACAAATGTGGGATAAGAAATACTTTGCAGACATTTTTCCATGGCTAAGTCTTAACAGAAAGTTAAACGAATATTTTGCACACACAAAAATTTTCACTTTAAAAAATAGTATTGGTTACCCTTGAAGGTATAAGACAATGGGCCTGTCATAAAATTCTCAGTTATAACTGGCACTAAGGGGCTACCCATTTCTAAACTAAGCCTTATCTGCTTAAGGATGTAGAACCAGTTCACTCCCTTTGAGAGTATGGTGCAGTCATTCCGTGCACATGTATGCAGATGATTGTGGGGAGCGCCCTGCCTTATTTGGTTGTATTAAAGCGTAATGGTAAACATTCAGCACAGGGTAACAACTCCAGATTTGTTTACTGCTCATCAACTCAATACTTAATTTTATTCCTTTGATAAGAACTTTCCAAATAAAAAATAATCACTTGGAGCTCTTTTCCCAGCTTTCTACTATGCATTTGCAACAGGAGGAAGATGGAATGCATATGCAGTATTAAGTTGATATGGGTTTTATGAACAGTGCTTTAATATTATGCCAAAGGGAAAACTGTCCCAGTGAAACTAGATTAAATAGGGTGGCTAAAAATAAATAAAAACACTGGAAATTATTTTTCTCACTTTCTCTTGATGCAATGAAGGGAATATGACACTACAGTATATGGAATTGTCAGTGTTATATGGTGCACAAAATACTTGGGTTATTTGAATAAATGTTAGCTTTTAATCTGCGCCTTAATAGTGACTGGCTGTCTGTAAATATAGAACAGATACAGATTGTATTTTTGTGGGGGGTTTTGTCCTTTTAGTGATTTTTTTAAAAAGAAGAGATGGAATTGAAAATGGGGATTTTTCTAAACTAATCAATTGTTACATGAAAAATAAATTTATATAACCCCTTTGTATTGCTCTTGCAAGATGAAATGGGTTTTTTTTTTTTAAA